TATAAGCATGTTTGGTTTATAAATTATATAGAGCTTATTGTTTTGTCATTGATGGTTTTGTTTGTTTGGTTTTATTGCATTAGAATTAAACATTCTAGATGTGGCATATGTGAGAAAGATCATATTCTAGCAAGATCTTTACATTTTTTCAATGTAGGAATTTAAAAAGTATAAAAAGTATTTTGGTTGTAGGTGGCAAAGGAATTCTGGATCTCTTGGATCATTTTTCTAGCCATTCTTCTGATAGAGTAATCTAGACACCAAGAACCAAAAAGGATTCTGAGGATGAGGCTTCTTATCAGTGAAATATTTTGTATTGTCCAGAAGGTAACTAAGTAGATTACATGTTTTCGGATATTGACATGAAAAATGATATCAGATCTGAAAAAATAGAGATGATGACGCTTTTACCTGAAGTGCCTCCAGTGGGTAGGTTTTGAATGAAGATATTATTCACTAGTCTAAGCTGATAAGACTATGAATAACCAAAGTAGAATTGCAATATCAGGATGAAAAATCACTTCAAAATTACTCAGAGTTTATTGCAATTTTCACCAATTTTGAGGTAATAGTGATATAGGGAAAATATAACTCCCTACTTGTTAGGTGTCAAAGGTGCTGAGTTTACAGTCTGTCAGGATGAAGGGATAAAGTAGTGAACCAAAGAAAGAAGTAGGAGAGCTTTATTGGAAGGGAAAGAATAGCTCCTAGATCTCCAGGAGGGGTCCTGAAAAGTGGTTACTGATAGCCTTTGTCGGGGGAAATTTATACAGGAAATTCACACCGTGGGTGCAATGTGGGTGAAACTACAATCAGTGTAGGATCACATGTACAGCTGAACAGCTAATATTGATCCAGTAGGGAAACAAATCATGTATTAAGGGTACATGAAAAGAACAATTGTATTTGGGGGATAGGAGGGGTCCAGATGTTCTGACCACCCACCTGGGTGTCTGGTTCCTATCTACCCGTACTGGGCGAGGTGGTGTTCATTCCAGATGATCTCGAGTTACTATTTATCCTGAAAGCAGCATGTAAGCCTGGACAGTGTATCTCCACCTTGTGCTTCCAGAGAAAATTTTAATGTCTTTGTTTCTTGGTGCTGACTTCTTTGAGGGGACAATGCCTCTCTGATTGTATATTAATTTCTAGGGTTTTTTCTTTGTTTTTTGTTTTTTTGATACCAGGGATAGAACTAGGGACCTTGCATTTGCAAGGCAGGCAGCGAAACGACTGAGCTAAATCTCTAGCCATGTATATTAATTTCTGTCTAAATCATCTGCCTATAATAATAGCAGTATTCTTTTTCTAAAAACCCACATTAGATATGTGATTTCCAGTTATTCTGACAATGAATCCTTGGGTGGATTTAATTTTAATGTTCATGATTTTGCCCATCTTGAAATTGTACACTTGCCAGTAAACAGAATGCCAAAGTAAAAGAAACTAACAAACAAGATCTGCAACACATACTTTCTTTGTCATTAAGCAAGAAAAAAATCTCCATATCTGCAACTTGTTCATTAAACTGCATGGATTTCATAGTCCATTAAGGGGAGAACCACTTACCATCAATATTAGACACACTGTGAAAATCAATTCATTCATTCATTTAATTACTTTTATATTCACACTTTTTAAAAATTGAGTTTACTGGTACATTTTAGGTATACAGTACAGTTACATTCATCATTGGGATTTTGTACCATTACATGACAAGTCTGGGTTCTCATTTTCCCCTTGTCCCTGCCCTCCCTTCACCCCCTCCTCCCCTCCCCATTTGCAAACACTTTTTTTCCATTGTTCCATTTTCTCATATTTTTTCTTTTCCCTTATTAGCTTTCCCCTACCCTTCCCACTTTCCCTAAACCTTTAGCCCTTTTTCTTCCTATTTCACATTGTGAATAATCTCATTAGGATCCTATGTACTATTACAGTTTTTCACACCAGAGAAACTATTTGGTATTTACACATGTGAGACTTACTTATTTCACTTAGGAGTATATCCACAATATGTATCCATTTTCCTATGAATGAATATAATTTCTCATTCTTTATGGGTGAGTAGTTTTCCATTTTATAGAAAAATCTCATCTTCTTTATCCAGCTTCCAACTGATGGGTACATGGGCAAAAGTTTTAGCTATTACAAACTGTGCCACTACAAACATGGGTGTGCATATATCCCTGTGATATAATTCTTTTAATTCTTTTGGAAAGATACCCAACAGAGGGAGGGCTGGGTCAAATGGAACCTCTAGTCCCAGCTCTTTGAGGTATCTCCATATTGATTTCCATAGTGATTGCACCAGTCTGCACTCCCACCAACAAGGGAGAAGGGTTCCTTTCCCCCACAACCCTGCCAACATTTGTTATTGATTGATTTATTGATAGCAGCCATTCCTTGTGGGGTGAAGTGGTATCTCAGTGTTTTTTTATCTGCATCTCTTGAATGACCAGGGATATGAAAGACCTTTTAGTAAATCTAATTTAAGGGATTGACACTATATTTTTATACATAAAAATATGCACATACACACACAAAATGAGAAGATAGGCTTAATCAGTAAAAATGTTTGGAAGAGTGCTTGAAAAAGTAGCTTTGAATTGAAATCACAAACTCCCTACTTCAGGCAACAGATGAGTTCCAGTCCAAGAGTTGAAAAGTAACACCTTGCATGTCTATATATAGAGATTTCACACTCACCCACCCAAATAAGTAAAGTATCTAACTAAAAAGAAGATGAAAAAATCTGTCCTAAATTGTAGCAGATGCCTCTGCCCAATATTAACAGGCTACAGTGGCATAAGCTTCTTGCTCCCTATTCATTTGGCTGTGTATTATTTGACTGAAGTTTACATGACTTAAATGGGCATATCAGATAGAGTTGGGTTAGTATTGCTCTTTTGCTCATGGCTGCTACCAAGACCTAAGTCCTACCCTGTAAAGTAGCAGGGCTTGACCAAGTTCACTTCTAGCCAAGTTCAACTGACTCCAACTAAATTCTACCCTTCTAAATTAACCATTTGTTCTCTTTAGTACAGATATGCTCATGTCCTCATTCTACAGTCCTGCCTGCTTGATTCTTGTTATCAGCAGGTGTCCCAACATCTGCTGAATTCCCTCTTTCCCCGACTTGTAACATATACAACACTGGACATCTTTTGGGTCTTTGCCTTTGCTGCCCACAGCAGTTTAGTCTCTGTTTATGTGTTTCTTTTAATTTCCACTTTCCTATCTCACGGGAATTGTACTGGCTTGTAGGAGGCCAGGACCATTACAGAAGTCTCTGGCAACTCCCATTAACCCTTCCCTATTCTAAATGATATGAGAAAAATAGATGAAAATGTTTTGGCAAAGTGTAGTCTCATACACGTTAAAGCAAAATATCTAAAAAGTGAAAGCATTATTGGGAAAAATTTGAGCTTTCAGAAAAGAGTTATAATGTGAGAGAATATCAAGAAAGTTGCAGTCTTAGACATAGTGAAGAAAATGTTGAAAAATAATACAGTAAAAACACTAAAACATCTGAAAAAAATAGCTTCTAAGAAGTTGAAATTATTGCAATTAATTACAATAATTTCCTGGGACAGGATGAAATATGTTTTGAATAGTACTCAAGAATAAGACATAAAAGTTATTAGAAGGTATGTTAAAGATGGAAAGAAAGGTAGGAGAATCATCATACATCAATAGAGTTCATAGAAGAAATAATGAACAAATGGATAAGAAGACAATTTAAATTATAGTGGAGGAAAATACTTCTGAGTAAAATTCTTGAATCTACCACTTTCCATGTTGAAAATTTCATGTTGCGTAATTAATATATAAATTCATTTTTAAGTTATTCACAGCAAGAATTCATAATTACATGATCACAAAGAATAAAACAAACAAAAGTCATGCATGAAAGGCCAGAGTAATATGTACAATCGCAATGGATATATAAACTGTATTGTAAATGGTCAATGTTTCTGCTGCCTCCTAATTAGTATGTGATTGCATTGAGAGGTACAGATTTTGTATTGTAGAAGTGAATCTTTCATGAAGTCATTCATTCTCACAGTGAATGAGATTAACTTATTGGATAACTTCTGCTGGCATTAATCTCTGTGACATTCTTCAGGGCTAACATGAAATGAATTCACCAAATGTTGACTTTTAGTGGTGGAAGTGATGGTGCTATGCAATTGAAAATAAAATGATTTCTGTCTTTTAAGGAAACAAATATATATGTTAATTTTTTTAGTTTTAGTACTAAATTTTAAACTGATTCCCAGTAAAATAGTGTAACAGAGATTAGTAGCCTTCAGAGAAGCACCCTGGAAATCCTACTTATCAATGTTGATGGCTTCATTTCAACTGATAGCTAACTAGAGACAGAAAGCCATGTCCTTCTCCCTTTGAAGATGGAAGATCAATGCATTTGAAGACAAATACTTTATTTGACTGCTCTATGGCTAGCTCAATGTAAAAATGTAGTATCTTGTTTTCATAACATTAGTGAATCACAATATTTGAATATATAACCTTTTGTGAAACAATATGGTTGTACATAACTTACTGGATATAGAAAGACAAAATGACTTCCCTATGGCTCCTTGGGTACTAAAGTTTAATTTATTAGCTCAACAAAATACTGTGGGTTGGTTTTATGATAATTATTGAAAAGAGAAACAGGTTTGTATTCTCTATTTTTATTAGTATCTTAAAAACATCTAAACGATGTTAAGGGCAATTCCCTTGGAATATGTGAAGATTCATTTTTCTTATCATCTTATATATGAGTAAAAGTTTATAGTTGACTTGTGTAATGCACGATATAATTAATAATGATTTTAAATATATAAATTTAATTTTAAAATTATTTATGATAAATTTATTCAGTAATGAGAGATATGTATTCAGGAAAAATATTCTCATATTTTCTCACTATTTAAAATCTCATAGATTGTATTATTTTATTGGATAATGTAACCCTTACAACTTTTATTTTCCAGGATTGAGTACAGCATATGAGCTAAAGAAAGGAGATAAAATGAACCTGTGGATATTCTTCTTATGCGATATTTATTCTGAATGAAGCATTAGAACAGCAAATAGTTTGTAAGTATTTTGAAAGGAAATTATAATGTTTATTTGGGGAGGTCTTGAAAATGTATTTTTTATGTTGTACACTTTTATACAATTTAAGAATAAAGTATATAGCATAGTAGCAGCTATTGGCATACTATTATAAATGCATGAAATGCTCTCTGGCATAAGAATAGTAACATGGAAAGAAAACTATCCTGGGTGTAGAATCATTTATTTTATTTTTATATTTTAAAATTTTTTTCCTGGTAACAGGATCAAACTCAGGTCCTTGTGCTTCATGGGGAGGTGAGGTACCACTGAGCTACATCCCTTGGTCAGAATCATTTAATTATAGAATAAATATTCAGAGTAATCAAAAGTGATAGACAAAATGTAAATTCTTTATTGTCAATATGGTCTTGGCTAGAATATACTTATGAATGTCACTGTTTTTGAATAAAAAGAAAGTAATTCTAAAACTATGCTGTGAAGTATTATAGTTTGTCTATGAATAAAAAATGAAATATGAGTTATAAGTTTAGAGATATAGAATGACAACTTTTATGAGTTGATTAAATTTTATTTTTTTCTCTATAGCAACATCAGTAATTATTGAACAAATCTCAATAAAGAGAATCCTCAATCTGTACCTTATTATCATTTATTTTTTTTTATTCTCATTGAGTTTATTGGTACATTTTAAGTATGCAGTACAGTTACATTCATCATTGGGATCTTGTGCCTTTACATCACAGGTCTTGGTTCTCATTTTTTCCCCTTGTCCCTGGCCTCCCTTCACCCCTTCCACCCTTCTCTATTTACAAAGACTTTGTTTCCATTCTTTCGTTTTCATCAATTATTCTTTATATTCATCATCTACAAATTTACTCAGACAAACTAATGCTTTTGTAAAGAGACCAAAATAAAGAAAAAAGAAAAAGGAAAAAAATCTTTCAAACCAACTTGACTTTCCACTTAATATTCCATAGAGCTCTACTGTAATTCAGGAAGAGGTACTATTATGATTGGTAAAAAGGTTGAATTTTACAGTACTTTTGTCGTTTGTAGCCCATGTTGTCTCTTAGGTCACAATGACTCTGATCTTGTGAACTACAAACAAAAGTATATTATCTGGGGGAAATACAGAAGAGACTTTTTCATAGTAAAACTTCCAGTCAACAAAGGTTTCTTTAGGCTTTGATATCTTATGTAGATCTCTTAGCTGAAACTCAAGGTAAGCTCCCCAGCATGGCACTCAGAGTTGATCAGCATCTGCTCAATGCATGGCTGCATATTTTGAAAGTAAGCCAAGGCCATAGTAGAATATGAATTATGTTTTATGTGTTCACTTGCTTTTTCACCAGAAAAATTTGTATAACAAAAGATGTTTCTAAGTAGCCGGTGAATTAGAATATATTTTTTTCCTAAAAATAATATATGGCTTGAACATGTGATTTAAAAAGTTCTTATAAAGGGAGCAATGAAAATTTTGTTAGATAATCATAAATCCAGAGGTATTTCACTTATAGCATAAGCTAGACTTTGAAATGTAAAGTTTGAAAATTGTATTTATGGTAATAAATTACCTACACTGAAGACCTGGAGGAATGGATCTAAGTCCTAGGTACAATGGGTAAGTAAAAATTAAAAAATAAGTTATAAGGAATATTTTGTTTATTTATTATGTTATGGGATTTATTGTGTTGTTATGTTATGAGGATTGTTATTTATTTTTATTAAGATTTCATTTTTATTGTGTTCACAATATGGCTGATTAATGAAACTTAAAGCAAATTAACAGTGAAGGTAAAATATAACATATTTAAGGTCCTCTCTGTTCTGCTCAGAAATGACTTTCATGGCAATATTTATTAATATGCATTCTTTAAGATAATTTGACAGATAAGAATCATAGAGAAATTTTCATAAAAGTAACCAATCCTTTGAAATATAGAGAATATTTCAATGAAGTAAAATTATTGTAATTAATGTTGTGAATGAATATAAGTGAACAATTTTTAAAGCTATTGATTCAAAACACCTTTGGCTGTTTATCAGAACTGTTACTAAATACAGGTTTGCATAAATAATTTGTAGTGACTGTAACACTAAGTAATATTTGCATCCAGTTTACTTAACACACTTAACTTGTTTCATAAAACATCTAGGCTACAAAATTTTCCTTTAATCAGACCACTATTATGTCTTCTTATTAATTCATGTCAGTTATGTTTTAATAAGCAAGATTAGAAAGATGCCTGTAGAACTTCTTTATACCATGATACCATTTATACTACGATAGCCTAGCATAACAAATTATTTTATTAAGCAAAATGTATCAAGCCCTCTAGTGGTATTAATATATAAGATATTTCATTGTGATGTTTGCTTAATAAAAGCAGGTTTGTTTTTTCCCTGAGTGCAGGTATTTAGCATTTCATTGACGTTAGCTTTTTGCAAATTCCTGTTTGCTCTGTTTAGCATGTAATATGTACAGTACTTTGATGGATTTTCTAAAGAATAAAAAATATTAAATGCTAGAATTACACTGCAGAAATAGATATCCCACAAAATAAATCACTATTTTTGGATCAATCACTGTTACTGTTGGGTCTACTATTAAAAGACATTTGAAGTGTTTATCCATGTGCATGTATGGATGACAAATATTATCACATATACCTGATGGTAACAATAAGACTTTCAAAGAAAAATTCCATCATTTACAAACTTAATTTAAATTAACAACACAATGGAGGACAAACAATAGCTAAGACTTTCTAATCTTACTGAGAGCTTTCATGCTATTTTAATGGTCTTATTCATACTTGGGCATTTTGTCACTGTGTTTCTTTATTCCCCCTTCTCTTATTAAATAAGACATACATTTAGAGAGTAGCTTTAGTCAGCAGATCTACAAAACGAGTTTCAATTATTAAGGAGTGAAGTTTAACTGATGGTGCTGTTTATATTTTTAATTGAAGTATTATTATTTGGTCTATAATGCCAGAGGAAACTGAAACATATCAAATAATTTCAACAGAAAAGTAATGTTCAAGTGTTTAAAATACAAAGTCGCAAAAATTATGCTCAAAAATGAATTTCTTGATTTATTTTCCTTATTTCATCCTTACTTTCAACTGTGAAGTTCGGCTCTTGGGCATTCTTGGAAACCACTGCAGTGAAAAGTGCTCTACTAGGGCTCAGAAGACTAACGTCTCAGCCCTGAACAGTTGTGTTTGCTGTGAGCTGGTAAATTACAGCTCCACTTTACTTCAATCCCCACACCCCCGCAGCTCTTTTGAGGCTGCTTGCCATTGTTTCGGAAGAATGAACATCATTTTATTGCCTGTCTTTGAGGGATTCATGCAGCTGATGAACATGTGGTCTCCTTTTCTATTTCTATCTTCTCCTTCTTCAAAGTTTTCTATCAGAACCGATTCAACACAAAATACTAAATTCAATTGACCAATATATCTACTCTTGGACTCTTTAAATCTACACAATCTCAAACCTGCAATGAAAACATACCTTTTCGGTCTTTAGCCTTCTCTGTGAAATAAATTCATTTAGAAACTTGAAGAAGTTAATGTTTGATTTTGTGTACAAAAAAACCATATATTTATGCATCATCTCAGGTTTTCTTTAGCTTCTTGCATTTGAATTATCACCATCATGTACAATTAAGTAACATTACAGACCCTAATTCCAAAAAGGGAAGAAAAAACCCCCAGAATATTCTCAAACGTAGTGTATTTCAAGACTTAAGCCTATACAACCAACATCTCTGTGGATGCTTGATTTTTGGACTAGAAGCCAATATAGTCTTACGTTGTACCTACTACCTAAATCCGCATTCCTCCTAGACTTCCACACCCACAATATGTTCATTTTTAAGTGAATAAATTTTATTGTAGAGCTCTTAAAATATCTTCTAATCTAGTGAATCATGAAACTACTGAAAAGATAATACCGTTCTATAAAATAAGAGAAGCAAAATATTGTTTTCCAGGATATTTTATATCTATCTGCAATATCGTTCCATTTTACCTATCGCACTTGGATGTCAGAAGTTGACAATAGCTGGAAAGAGCTGAACTGCCAGGTGCCTGAGTGGTCAACTGGGACAATGTCCCAAAGAGAAAGTAAGACTTGAGCCTTCAGCCATTTACTGGGATAATGAAAGCAAAGGACTAAACTAGGGAAAGAAAATTTTCCCTGCTCCACTTTCCCTCTGGGAATAATGTCGGCTGAGTGTCAGGTGGATGAATACAGATTGGATGGTCATCTCATTGAGGAGGAAGCCTTGAATAAAAGTCTTCTATTGTCTTGCAGAGGGGGAGGAAAAGGGGTAGGGTTGGAAAAGTACTGAGTCAGCCTGTTGAAAATTGTGTTCACCGTAGTTTCCTGCTCCATCTAAGGAGGTATCCACTGAGGTTCTCTGTTAAGGTCCCACATAAAGACGATGCTGAGTGAGGGAGGGCCTCTATCCAGAATACTGAGGTGCATGAGTGTGGCTGGCCAGTGGACCTAAGTCCTGGAAAGCAACTTCCTGCAGAGGCTAAAGTGCACGTGTCTCCTGTGGAGAGAGCAGTTTTCCCCCGTGAAGCCTGCCAGGTAGTCATTGCCTACTGACTAGTTGTGAAGAAAATCCCACATAGGCTTTCAATATAAAGCCAGATTGGCTATCATTTTACTTGTGTACTTCCTCTTTTTTGTTTTCTTGGTTTTTTTTTGTAGCGGGGATTGAACTTGGGCCCTTGCACTTGCAAGGCAGGCCACTGAACCGCTGAGCTAAATCCCCAGCCTGTACTTCCTCTTGAATCCAACAAAACTATTCATTTACTTAGAAACTGAGCTACGTAAAGAGTCCTATTCAGGAAATTGCATTTCATAGAGGATCTTGCTTAGTTTGGTTGGAAATGCTAGTGATACTGAGATAAATCTCTGCCTTGAAGGAGTTTGGTGTATATAAAGGAGTCTGAAGGAAAAAATATTATATACACTATTATAACAACATTGCTAAGCTT